CTCTATTCATTTACGTTCCTGCCTGAGCCACATCAACCGTTCACATTCGCTTATATATTTTTGCGTCAGCGATCTTTCGCGCTACAATTAATATATCTGATTCGAACTCGGTTGCTGATTCCACTGGACACCGTACGGGATTACGATTAGCGAATCGTATTCCAAACATAATTTATTGTACTACATAGGAAGCAAGATGGCTCGTGAAAGTGTGGTGCGGATTTTGGAAGGACAAAGGAACTACAGAGAGTTTTAACGCGATAGCAAACTTTATTACATAATTATTTGTAATTTAGCGTAGTAGCGTGGTGTGTGATTCGGAATGGGTGGTGTTTGTGTGTATAGTGGTTGTTTTGATGTGGTGTTGGCGTTCAGTGGCGTGCGTTGAGGAGAGGCGTAACTGATCTAGACACCTTAATTATTATATTATGACTCCGGGAAGGAAATAATATACAAATTGGCGAGGCCCCACATCCACCTCCATAATCCTCAAAAACGTCAAATTTATCTGAGAGCATTGGTACCTAAAACATGTCCCTCAGTGCATTTTGCCAGTAAATAATATCACCAAACCACTTGACTAATTTTACTAAACTTGGTGTATGATTTTCAAACGATTATTTTGGCAAAGGTGGAGAAGAATTGGATAATATTATGTTTTCCACCAAAAAGTAGTATTAATAGGAATATCAACCAAGTATGCAAAATTCAATGTGAATATAACAAATTTCACTTCTAACCGATGAATTATTGCGTAAACAATAAGTCAGCAAATACAACTAGTCTAGATTTACCTTATATAAATTATATAATATATAGTCTGCCTATTTGCATTTTGCGTTTTTAAATTGTTTTATTTTCTGGAGATAGTGAATTAGTATAATATGTCTACACTAAAAATATATGTACATATGTCATATATATGTATATGGGCTTATAAGATCTATTACGTTATGAACCAGTTTCGCAAATAATAGCCGCTTAAGTAACTCTTTGGTTTGCTCATTAATAGTCATCTACCGCCTTGCTGACCTTGTCTAATAAGCAGCACTCTGTATCCAACCAGCCAATCTATGTTTTCACTTTCATCATACTTACTTTCATAAATATTCAAATTATGATTTATGCACTACTTTGGAAACTGTTAATCAATGTAAATGTGCAGCTAAATATAATATAACCTACACGCATACGTGTATATTTGTTTATACGTATAATTGTCGAGTATGTACATAAATAAAGATTTGCATGTTTGTGTTTGATACTTGCTTAACGGTTCGAATCGATAGAAGAAACAAAAAAAAACTATTTCTAATCAAGTTTTCTCTTTAATTTTCGACTTGGACCATTTGAATTGCAACTTTAAAATCCTAATTGCTTATACAATTCTGTACATAGTCATCATATTGAGCTTGGAAGAAGTTTCCAGCCACTGGTACACCAAGTACATATTTCTCTGCGAAATTTTTGTTGAAAATTTCTCACGACCCTTGCACTTGTATTCGTGAGGTGAGTTTCACTGAATTCCAGTTTCTTTGGTTGTTTGTAGAGCAAGAATACGTAACGATGCAGTCCTGTATCCTTCGGTGCGCCAGAACCAACATATGCCGATAGAACTTCACCCTTCTCCAAAGTATTGCCGGGAATATGACCACCAACCATGATGCCATTCGCGCATATCAGGCTTAGCACGGCTAGGTGCATCCGGATCGGTCATGATCAGTGTATAGTAAGTATCAGCCGTTTCAGGATTCCATTCCACTTTCGGTTGGTGCTTCACTTGTGTCGGCGTCAGCTCTACGCCCTTATCAGCGACTACACCACTGTCATAGCCACCTACCAAAAAATAAAATCGAATTGAACTTCATGAAATTAACTTAGCATACTATGTTAATAGCCATACTTTTAAAAGTTTTTTGGTCCTTCCGCGATTACATCAGGTATTACTTCCAGGTGCTTCATAAATTTTGTTATATCCGAATCCGTACGTGTGCCATATAAACCAGACTCAATAAAACAAATGTTTTAAGTTCAACATTTTACCGTTGTTTCGGTGTATTCGTCGTTATCGTCCGCAACCGTTGAGCTTCTAGTTGTGAATAAGCTGTGACGATCTCTGATCTAAACTGCTGCTATTGTGGATTAAAGCTGCGCTTTATTTAGTTGAGCTTTTGGTCGCTCTCAGCGTTGTCTATAAATAAGCAACTGTTTATATAGGTAGTGCTGCTAAAGTATTCAATTTATGCATGCCTACATATGTATAATTTGTACGTCTATAATGATAATTAACTTTATTATAACTTTTATCTCGATGGCTGTGGGGTACTTTTCTTAAAAACAACTTTTGACTGATATGTAATTAAAGTAGTAAGTGTGTGTATGTGACTTTGATATAATTATATACTTGTACACTAAAGCTGTTTGTCGCTTAACTCTTCAAAACTTACACAATACACAAAACTTTCAATACAACCTCTACGATTACATAGTTCCCTATGCATATGTACAAGTATGTACGTATTTTATTTGTGGAAGTATCAACCTGCATTCGTTAAAGCTTCACAAGGTTCAAACAAAAAGGGCTACAATATATTTTATGCTTTTCCTTACTGTCCAGAAAATTGGAGGGTAATGAGAAAGATTGGTTTCATAATTTCATACTTATATACTTGTATACATATATTCCGCTTCTTTGTCTTTGTATTTCGCGGCTATGTAAAAGCGCTACAGAGCTCGTATCTGGCAACACTATACATAATTTGAAAGTCTTGACATAACCTACAAAACAACGCTATGCATGATTAGTTTGATATTGCGTTCAACAGTTATAGACGTGTAACATAGTATAGCAAATTCGCGCTATTTTATAGTTTTCCTTCGTTAAAGGCAAATCCGCTAGAGAAACGTTCCGTGAGATTAATGGTGTTTTGGGGATGGTACTCTATCACTTCGAACCCGGAGGAATGGTTTCGACGATTCAGAGCCGGTGAAAACGACACCATGGATAAGCCAGCCGGCGGAAGACCTGTGACGACAAATACCGATCAAATCATGGAATACATCGAGTTAGACCGGCATATGGCATCTCGTGACATCGCCCAGGAGATGGGAGTTAGTCACCAAACCATTTTGAACCATCTGCAGAAGGCTGGATACAAAAAAGTTTGATGTTTGGGTGCCGCATAATTTGACGCAAAAAAACCTTCTGGACCGAATCAACGCCTGCGATATGCTCTGAAACGGAACGAACTCGTCCCATTCTTGAAGCGGATGGTGACTGGCGCGAAAATGGATCACATACGACAATATCAAGCGAAAACGGTCGTGGTCGAGCCGGTGAATCGTCCCAAACAGTGGCCAAGCCGGGATTGACGGCCAGGAAGGTTTTGCTGTGTGTTTGGTGGGATTGGAAGGGAATCATCCACTATGAGCTGCTCCCATATGGCCAGACGCTTAATTCTACCATCTACTGCGAACAACTGGACCGCTTGAAGCAGGCGATCGACCAGAAGCGTCCAGAATTGGCCAACAGGAAGGGTGTAGTGTTCCACCAGGAAACGCCAGACCACACACTCGTTGATGACTCGTCAGAAGCTACGGGAGCTCGGATGGGAGGTTATCGCATCCACCATATAGCCCGGACGTAGTGAAAATCCGAAAAGTGGCTGTCCGAATTCTTCGCAAATATAGAGGGGGCTTCTACGAGGAAGGTATTATGAAGTTGCTCTAGATGGAAAAGATCATCGAACAAAACGGCGCATATTTTAACTAAATCCGATCACTGTAACACTTTTTATAAAGCATTGAATGAAAAGCAAAAAAGCGGAAAGATATCTCCCATTCCAACCTTATATAATATATACACTCGTATTTATGTATATGTATATATACTCATATAAACTTATTTCTGCCTATAATATCTAGGTGAAAATGGTTATTTAAGAGAGAAGAGAAGATGGTTAGCGAATTTTCTATGTAGCGCTGTTGATTCCAAGTCTTGACGAAAAGGATTATTGTATACATCAGTGGCAGATTTATTTTGAGTCTACGTTCGCCAAGTTCAATTTATTATTGCACAGGACCTTAAAATAACTGTTCAAATAATAACAATCATAAAACTAGCAATGTGACGATAACCTTTTTTAAAGTTTTGGTTTCTAACATGTTATTCGATATTAATTTATGTATATACTGCTAGTCAGCAGGTTTGCATATTGTCTTTTTTCGCATAAACTCATTAATTTAGATATTTTTCAATTCGTTGATGATCTCAGAAATCTAACGATATATAAGAACATCTATATAATTTAAATCTGGTCTTAACGGCCTGGTCAAACCGTTTAATACCTTCAACAAACTAGCTTTCGTTGGAGTTGACCAACTTGGCAGTGTGGATCGGAGTAATGTACGAGAAAACGTAAAAATGCCATGGCAAATAATTTCTAATCAGAATTTCACTTTTCATATGGAGCCTTATTTTAGCACATTTTTTATCGAAAAAAAAGATGCTTATAATTTTTGACAGTGTAGGATCATACCATGGTGCAAACGAAACAGATTAAGATACAAACAAGTGTTTGTATTGTGAGAGCAAAAGCAATTATATTACGCTCCAATGTGTGCTACTCTGTGAGGCGCAGTGTACGTGTATGATTTGCTAGGGTTTTAGAACATCTGATAATTAAGCGTGAAGCATATATTTTTCGTGACAAATTTAATCGGACGAGCGCTTCCGTGTGAAATAGGTGACGCTGAGGGGTATAAAGTACGGAAAAGAATTTTTAAAGGTTAATAAGTCGAAAGTCAACGGCAAACATACGAGCATAGAATAGATATTAAATGAGAAATACCAATAAGGTTTTTACATTCGAATACATGACAGTGAAATGAAATTCCAAAATCCGTAGTCAAGAAAAGTAAAGTAAGTGGAATGAAGCAACTTCAGGGAACAAATCTGTAAGTATTTTAAATAAAAAATTTTTTAAGTTAGAGAATTGCCTTGAAATTCTTGGTTGTGAAAGAAAACTCAAAATTTTTAAAAATTCATTTTCTTTTTTATATTTTATTTTTCGTTTGCATCTCTATAAATTAAAATAAATATTAACTTAGTTATTTGGATTTGCGGAAAAGAAAGAAGGTAAATATTTAACAAAAGATGCAAGTAAATGCAGAATTAAAGCACTAGAGAAGAAAAGAACAGCGGAAATTTCATAGAAAAAAATTTAAAGTGCAAAGATTAGAAAAGTGTAGAGAGAGTACTAAAGGGAAAGTTGGAAAAATGAAAGCGTAGTAAAAGTCAATAAGCTTTAGTAGAATGACTAAATCCTTAAAATAATAAAAATAAATTACATTTAATAAATATACTAAATGGATTAAATGGTAGTTTAGCGTATGTCTTAGTCCTTTCCTTTTCCTAGTTTCCGATTTTTCGATAGTATAATGTCTTATTTTTGTCTTGCTTGATTTTTTTATGTATACATATGTACAACTTTGTGTGCTCTTTTGTAAAGCTCTCCTCTAGTGTGAACTCAGGTCCACAGAATAACGGTTAGGATTTTTGGAGTGAAAATTCTAGATGTGCCGTAGTTTACTCTTATTTACGATGAGGAGCTGTAGCTGGACGATGAACCTGTGGAGCTGGAGCCGGAGTTGTATGAGCTGGAGCTGGGGTGGTATGAGTTGTATGCGAGACTCTGTGAGTCCCAGCGGGCATATGGGCCACCACTGGCTGGTTCCCAGCTGCTTGGATCGTATGAGGACGCGGTGGTGCTGGGTGGACCGTATTCGGCCGCTGGCATGGGTGCGGGCATCATCATCATTTTTGCGCCGGACAATTTGGTAATCAAGTTGTAGATAAGGAAGCCAAGTACCAGTTTAATAGCGATTTTCGACAAAATCAAAGCCTTGAATGCTTTGAGTCCAATCAGGCCCAGAAGGATTGGCATGACGACCTTCAATTTAAACTTCATGAGCAGCAACAGAGGGAGGAGCAATTTGTCCTTCTTTTTCTCACCACGAGCTGGAAATTAAAGACACAAAAAATAAAAAATAAATTAAAAAATGTAGTATTATAAGATGGTAAGATTAAAGATGGTACTTAAGTAATCTACGGTAATTACTTGTACTGTTACTTATAATATGAAGCTGTACATTCTTCACACCGTTGCGGTATTATTATTCCCAAAACCGTATTGATCTCCCACTCACCTCTAGTCTCGGGAACTTCTACATCAAAACCACGAGCAGCACTATAGCTGACGACCGAGCTGCCGAATCCGGTTTCTGGCAAGCGCAGGCGGAATTCATTGTTGTTTAAGATTCGGCTAACACGATCGACGATCACTTTATCGATGACATCCTCATTGAATGCGCGTCCACTAATATCCTCCTCAACTCCGGCTACACCATCCAAATAGGTTAAAACTTTCTCTTTCAAACAATACAATCCGTTGGCATTAAAGCACTTATCTACAATTGTGGTGAGCAGCTCATCCGTGTTGCGTATGCGGGGCTCTGCCACAAAATTATCAATGGCAGCAGCATTGATTGACGAAGCGACTACGAGCAATAAACAAGCGAATGCGATTAAGGACGTAAAACGGAATGCCATTTCGATGCAAACTCAAATAAGTTTTGAGGGGAAAGAAATTAAAGAAATTGAGATAGTGAACGACGCGTTTCAGTGACCGTTATGCGATGACTAGCTCTAGATTGCTGTGTGTTCACTACAGAATCGATAATGAGACAATGATATCCACTTGGTCGTATACTCATGGTTTTATACTGCCGCTCCCCAGAAGCCTCAAGCAGGCGGCAAACGGTCAGAGAGTATGCTCGTTGACTATCGGTTGAAGACGCCAGGTAAACATAAAAGCAGCGGCGGCCACGGTGTGGGAGATGGGAGGGTAAGCCTCTACTAAATTGCATATAAGACGCGCTTCATTGGACATTTCAGGTACGCGTGAACGTTTTTGGACAACATTAAAAGCACGATTGGTGTGGCAATAGCGCCACTCTTACTAGGTTTGCCCAAAAAAACCGACACATTGAAATGTATTTGGCTTCGATTTCGGAACTTTTGCTGCATGCTCATGAAATGTAGCTTTCATTTGAGTCGCAAAGCAACAGTTGGTGGAAGAAATTATGGGGGAAGGGATAAAACGGTGTATGCATGATCGAAGGGTGTGAATTCTTCAACGGTGCAATTCATTTCCATTGCCAAATACACTTTTTCCATGTGCGCGGCTAAACTTAAACTTGGCTATAAATCGTCACTCCAATACCACTATCGTACCAACAACTACATGGCGAAAGATTCGAGCAAAGAACGACGTAAATGACAACGATGACCAATACTTTATAGCCAACTCAAATGAGTTAGTGTGCGTGTGCGGATGCTCAGGCTAATTAGTATGCAAGGGCGGCACTCTTACGCGGTTACTGTCAGCCAACGGCAAAAACAACAAATCGGACGTAAACACTCGAAGCGTCAAGTGAAGAAATGCGCGTCAATCGAAAGAAATGCAATGCGTTAGACAGTAACAACAACCACATTGCAATTATAAATACTCTTAAATACATACATACATGCATACATATTTCAACGTACATAATTCAATTGGCTGTTGTCAAACGCTATGCTTGTGCCAATTTTCTGTTGTTGAAAAAGTATACACACATATACAAGTACTTTTGGTTAGTGGGTAGCCAAGTTGTGGTAGCAATTGTTTGCTTGGTAGCTTAGTTGTGGGTATTTGGAGTCATTGTCATTGATAACATTAACTAGCAGTCCATGCGGAACTTGATTTTGTTTATCAATTTTGGTTACGAAATCGAAACTTAACTTACTCACCAAACATTAACAGGCGAAGGTTGGGTGTAAAAAAGTGTGTTTTTCTTTTTGGGTTAGGTGTGGAAGACGGTTTCCGTTGCCATATTTTTCGCCAAGTAAAAATATCGATCACATCAAAATATGCCCAAATATATATACGGATACATATGTACATTAGGTTATAGGTGTATTATACCTTTCTTATATAAATACGTAGATATTATAATTTTCATGTACCAAATAGGTGTTTAGCAATAGGCACAAGTATAAGGGCGAGTACGTTTGAAATCTAAAGTTTGAAAAAGTATGCAGACTTTGTCCATAAACTACATAGAAAGCGAAAATTACAAACGAGCACATGCTGAATTTGCGTAGCTTTGGAGATACTTATGTACGCGTGTGTGTGTGCATTCACATGCGTACGCGTTGAAAAAGAAAGAAATTAACGTCTGATATATACATACATATGTACATACAAACATACAAACCTACTCTAGTTACTAAATAACAAAAATTATGAAAAAATGTATTTTATAAAGTTACATTGTTTTAAATTAATATTAATTTTATGTCGTTACTGCCTGATCATACAGTACTTGCCCATAGCACCACATACTCATAAAAGCGCTCCATGTCGCGGCATTTCAAGTTATTTGGTTTGCAAAGTTAAGTTATTTGAAATTAGGGTCAGTTATTGCAAAAGTATTGGTAACATGTGATTGCGCAGGCTTGACAAGAAATTGTTGGTGAATAAAAAATTACAAAACTACACTTAATATGTATACACATGAAGGTTGGTACATCAAAGTATCCTTGTATGGTAAAGAGTAATTACAACTTTATAAAGCATAGTCATAGCAATTAATTCTATTTACTCTCTAATAAAATTTAAGATCCATATAGTAATGCTTGTAAGTGAATAACAAATAAAATTTACATTGAGTTTAATAGATCACTTTCTAATCAACGCAGCTTCCAAAGTACCACACTGCGTATAAGCAACATTTTACTTAATGTGGACGTTCGGTATTGGATCATCGCCACGCCCACATAATGTCGTTAATCGAAAACCTAAAGTGTTATAACTAAGCTCCAAATTAGGATAAAAAACTTTAATATGATGGAGGGCATCGTAGTAGTGAGGGACATCTGTGGGTTGAAAATATTCAAAAAGTGGGCATGGCTAAAGCTAAATTAACCAAATTTGTTAAGGAAAAATTCTTCTGACGCCTCCTCATATAATGTAAAAGTGGGTGAAATCGGAAGATAACTACGCCCACGCAAATTACAAAACAGTTATATTGAAAAACTGCACAAATAGATGGCGCTAGTTTTATTGAATTTATCTTATTTTCAGTTAGTAACATGATTCTCTTCATTAGTTTGCGAGTAATTATGCTAAGGTGACTCTACTTTTGTTATTTTAATAACAATGAATGATAAACAATTTCGTGTTTTAATTTTACACTGCTTCTTGATGGAAACCTATTCCGTTCAAGCGAAGCAATGGCTTGAAAAGTGTTATGGGGATTCCGCGCCAACAGAAACCACAATAAAACGTTGGTTTGCTGACTTCACACGTGGTCGTAGAGATGATGCAAATCACGCGCCTTGTGTAATGAGGCTGTAACACCAGAAAACATAAAAAAAATCGTTCTGAATGATCGGAAAGTGAAGTGGCTTTGTCCATGAGAAAGCTCGGTTCTATGTGCCGCGTTTGCTGACTGTTGACCAAAAACAGCATGATGATTCTGAGCAGTGTTTGGCCACGTTTAAACGTAACAAACCGGAATTTTTGCGTCGATATGGGACAATGGATGGAAAGTGGATCCATCCCTTTACTCCGGAATCAAAACGATCGTCATCTGTGTGGACAGCAGCTGGTGAACCTGGTCCGAAGCGTCCGAAAGTACAGCAATCGGCTGGAAAGGTTACACCCTCGGTATTTTAGGATATGAAATGTATAATATTCATCGACTATCTTGAGAAGGGAAAAACCATCAATAGTGACTATTATATAGCGCTAATGGAACGCTTGAAGGCCGAAATTTTAAAAATATGCGGTCGCTATATGGCAAAGAAAAAAATTTTGTTTTATCAAGACAGCGCATTGTATCAGAAGTCAATCAAAACAATGTCGAAAATGCATGAATTGCGCTTTGAATTACTACCGTATCCACCTTATTCTCCAGATTTGGTTTCCAGTGATAACTGGTTGTTCGCAGACCTCAAAAAAATGCTGTCGGTAAGAAATTTCGCTCGAATGAAGAGGTTATCACTGAAACTGAGGCCTTTTTTGAGGCAAAAGACAAATCGTTCTACAAAAGTGGTATTGAAATGTTAGAGCGCCGCTGGAATGATTGTGTTGCTCTTAATGAAGATTATATTGATGAATAAAGCGAATTTTGACCGAAAAAAGCCATGTATTTTTTTTTAGATCCGGCTCTTTTTAGCCCATGTTTTAGATTAGATAATGATGAGGTATGCACCGCGACCTATGTGTCTGAATTAGCCCATGTGTTAATATGACACTTAATTGGTTTTAAAGAAAGTTTGTAAAAACTGGAGGCATGGCTTATAGTCAAAATCCTATACCTCAGGAACTACTCTATATATACTTATATTTGAAAAATTAATGACCTATTTTACTATATACAAATTTGAGGTGCGTGTAACCTATTTATGTGACTAAAAGTGTATATAAGTACATATACATACGTAAAAGCATATAAGTATTCGACTTGTTTTATGTTTAATGAAGTTATCATCTCATGTTAAAAAAAACGAATACAAGTTCACTTAAAAAAAATTAAATTACTTGCGTTTAAAGCTCTCAAAAACGGAATTTTCTTCTTTATCTAATAAGTTTGGCATCCTTTAAAGTACGATAGGTAAAAACTCGATTTTCGAGAGTTATTAATCTGACATGCCGCTGCAAAATAGTTTTTAATTGCAAATTTAAAGGTTTTAATTTTTTGTCACCTTTCAGCCGTCCTTTCTTTTGCAATTAATTCTCTGAATAAATCTACATACCTATTGTTTTAAAAAAATATCCTATGTACATATGTATGTGTGTGTATGCAGTTATAAATATTCCATTTTCAGGTGGCATTTAGCCGGTGGCTTTGGATGTGGGTAAGTGCAGCGCTGACAGGCTTCGAAGGTGCATGAAGACTAGTGCACAGCAGCGTCGAGTTGCTTTCAGTTGTCCCCACAAAAAACGGCACATGTACATCCTCGTAAAAGTTTACGCGGTTATTTATGGATCTGCCTGTTGATATTTTTTAACAGTTTTTAGTGATTTCGTTCAGTTTTTTTATAAACTCAAGTGTATATTTTATAAATGGCGAATGAAAATTGAAATATTCTAATCTGAATTAGTATAGCGATTGCTAATAATCAAGTTAAGTGTAAAGTTTAAAGTAAACATTCTGTATATTATTTTATACATAATTCTTACAAATTCCGAGAGTATCTAATATTCGACTTCGTCTAAACTTTGCCTTTTTTAACAATTTTCGGCGTTAGGTCTTCTATAATAGAATTTTAGATTACTTTTGCCATAAAGTGACGTAGAAAATTTACTTGTCAGATTATCTCAACTACAATTATTCCACATTTTGTTTTTTTTTTTGTCTACCTGAAAGTAACGTTTAAACACCTCTCGGGTGCGTCAGTTAACACTGTCAAAATGGGTGGAATGAATGAACCACTGGATCAGTAGCCTTTAAGCCAGCATATATGTACACATGTAAGTCATTTCGTGGTGGGGAGAATAAACCAGACAATACAGGCAACTACTGCGAACTGACAGTTTCTATCATAAAAATGTACCATATTTATTTACAAAAAATTTACTTACATTTAGAGCATTTGCACGAGAAATGGCATTTTCATGTTTCTGCAAACGAAATTGCAAAAAAAAGAGGATTGTGCTTTTGTGTACAATTATGTTCAAGTAATTCCCGGTACGATACCGTCTACCCTACATTATATTGCTAGACATTAGAAGTTTTTTAATAGATGGCAAAGAAAAAAAAAAGAAAACATCAGGGAATAAGTAATGGCTTGTTTACACGTACAAGTAGTATAGTCGTTAACCACTAAATTTTTATTACTTTGGTGAATATATTGTATATAATATATATATATTGCAAGAACTATACTCAGTTCAGGCGAACTTAATAGAAATTGATATACCATACATGTAAAAATTAGATGATATATACAAGTTGGTTGAAAAGTTTCTGCGCTCGAAATGAAAAAATACTGTTTTGGGTACGAAATATAATTTTATTACATCCCTATATTGACTTTCCGGAAGCTCTGCAAAGTACCCGTCTACAGCTGTAATAGCTTCTTCATTTGACGAAAAACACTTTCCACGAAGAAATTCTTTCAGGTAGTAATCATTGGGAGCCAAATATTAATATATATATATACTTATTTATACAATGGGGTACTTATGGTACATATTTGGATGAGACTACTTATCGATACACCCAGAAACTCTTCTGTGTTACTCGTAATGAGGTCGGTAATTAGAGGTAAAGGAATGTAAAAGAATTTTCAGAATGTTCGACTTCTTTCCTGATAGTGGAACTGGATGTAAGAATTACTATAGAAAATTAGAAAAATTTAAGGAGAAACTATGTATGTTTAGTTACCGAATCCACAATGTTAATTCAATTTTTAACGTAACTTGAGTAGAAGGAGGCATACGATATTTAGTAGGACTTTATAAATTAACCAAAAGAGTATACGAGCATATAATTATACACAGTCTTAATATACAATTACAAAAGACCAACATAAAATTTTGGTTTTTAAGATATGTTGAAAAATTTACTCAATAGAAGACTTGCATTCTCAACGACCATATAATCTAAAATCGTGTATATGATTAAATCTATTGATGTCCTCTAACTAAATAAGGATGAACACATCGACCAATCAAAATCGAAATTTAAGTTGAAGTAAGAAGTTGATTCAAATATTTTGCAACATAAACTAGGTTTAAGGCCCATTTGTTGAATATTTTAGTTTTAAAAATCTAAAAAACAAAAATACAATACATACTTTACGTTTGCCAAATTTCGTGTTATTTCTTCTGCTCAAATATAAACGAGACTGGCTCAAACAACAAAAACGGTTAATTATTCTTCAATATTTATTTTATCCCCTTCAAAATAGTCACCATTAGAGGCGATACACATATGCCACCTTTTTTTCCAATCTTCCTAACACTTCTGGTAGGCCGCTTTGGGTATGGCTTTCAGTTCCTTCTTCGAATTCTCTTTTATGACTTCAATCGACTGAAAATGCATTCCACGAAGCGGCAATTTGAGTTTAGGGAAAAGAAAAAAGTCACACGGTGCCATGTCGGGTGAATACGGTGCTTGCGGAACAATATTTACGTTGTTTTTGGTCAAATAATCGCGTACAAGACGAGACGTATGAGCTGAATTTTGGAACAAGTCGAGCAGACACACGTCTCATGCCCAAAACATCGTGAATAATGCTATGAGCGGATTCATTTGATATGTTGAGCTCACTAGCTATCTCTCTTTCAGTCACACGACGATTTTCCAACACAATTTTCTTTACTTTTTCGACGTTTTCTTCGTTTATTGACGTTGCTGGATGACGATCATGGGGCAAGTTCTCCAGCGATGTACGGCCGTCCTTGAACGACTTATACCAATCAAAAATACGTGCACGTGATAGGCAAGACTCCCCATATGCCTTCTGCAACATTTTCATTGCGTCCGTCGCACTTATTCCATTGGAATAACAAAATTTCAAACAAACACTTTTTGCTCAACGTTAATTTCCATAGTAAAATTCGAAAAACACACTCGAGGTTGACTTGTCGAGTTATGGATAAAGTCTCGTTTTGCGTTGAGCAGATGGTATCTTGTTAAATAAAAAGATTTTCCATGCAAAGACTTGGCTTTTATCGGTCAGCTTGTATACCAGTGTGTGCTGTGGTCTCAAAAACTGAGGAATTACTTCG